TGTTAGGCATTCAGCAGTGGCCATAGCCAGTTTGACTTTGGTGAGTGAAAATTCATGTTACTGAATTCATACATATTTCCTATCTCTGCATGGCCACTTTGTTTATAAACTTGTTGGGGCAATGGTGGGAGTGACTAGTGACTTAAGTATTTTTATATAGAACACAAATGTCTTCCTAGTCTGTATTCATCTGGAGACCTGTATTCCCAGACCTCCTTGTTACAGATTCTTTAATTGTGTTTTGAGTTCCTAACCATCCAGCTAAACATGTTAGAGTGTCCTAAAGCCCACCAACACTTCTGACACCAACTAAAAGTTTATCAGACCCCATGATCACCCTCGGGTTAAATATTTTGCTAGAAGAACTCACAGAATTCACTTAAAGCTGTTATTCTCATGGTAATGGCTGATTACACAGGAAGGATTCAGATTAAAATCAGACAAAGAAAAAACATGTAGAACAGAGTCTCAGAGAGCTCTGAGTATAAAGTTGCCAGTTGTCCTTTCCCAGTTGGGACTTGTATGCAGGGCTTCTATTCTAGGAATGATTTGTGATGATATACACAAAATATTGCCACAATCATGGAAACTCACTCAAGCCTTAGTTTGCAGAATTTTTATTAGACTTTTGTCACGTAGACATGAATAATTGACCATGCTGATGACCTTGATTTCTGCTGTGGAGGTGGAGCTGATATTCAGCCTAAAGCCATATAATAAAGCCACTTAAACACATTGTTAGCACTTACTATCTAGTTTGGCCCAAGGATTCTAGGTGAACACAGATCCTTATCAGGCAAGACATTCTGAAGGTTTAGAGAATTTTTCTGAGAAGCAGAGGGCAAAGGCCCTATCTCTCTCTTTAGATGAAATGAATTCTTTTTTTTCTTTTTTGGTACTGGAGATTGAACCTAGGGGCGCTTAATCACTGAGCCACATCCCGAGCACTTTTTATATTTTATTTAGAGACAGGGTCTTTTGAAGATGCTTAGGACCTCACTGAATTGCTGAGGCTGGCTTTGAACTTGTATTTCTCCTGCCTCGATCTCCCCAACCATTGGGATTATAGGTGTGTGCCACCATGCCTGGCTCGTTTTTTTTTTTTTTTTTTTTTTTTGTGATGCTGGGGATTGAACCCAGGGCTTGTGCATGCGAGGCAAGCACTCTATCAACTGAGCTATATCCCCAGCACCAGTCTTGCTCTTTTTAAATAGTTTTATTAAGATAGAATTAATATATCATTCAATTCACCCATTTGTAAGTGTACAATTCAGTGGTTTATTAATAGTGTACAAGTATCACCACTGCCAATTTTAGAACATTTTATCACCTCAAAAGGAAATATTATACCTTTTAGTTATCACTTCCTAATTCTCTCAACTTTTCCCTTTTTGTCTCTAACCAACCACTAATCTATTTTCTGTCACTGTAGTTTTCCTTTTAATTTTATATGAATGGAATTATATAATCATTTCTTTATGTATGTATGTGTGACTGGATTTATTTCACTGAGATAATGTTTTTACAGGTCATCCATGTTGTTGTAGGCATCAGTACTTCATTACTTTTTAAGGCTGTGTAATATGCCATTATGTAGATATACCACAGATTGTTTATCCATTTATTAGTTGATAAACATTTGGGTTGTTTTCATCTTTTGAGTCTATGAAGAATACTCTGTAGAGATTTATGTATTGAGTTTTTACATGGGTATATGTTTTTATTTCTCTTCGCTAGAAGTGAAAATTCTGGGTCTTATGGTAACTCAAACCTTTGTTTGAGTTAAAATGTGTTTGTTTGAGGAATTACCATTGTGTTTTCCCTAACAGCTATATCATTTTACATTACTACCAGCAGTGTCTAAGGATTTCAATTTCACCACATCCTTGACAACAGTTGTATGTTTGATTCCAGCCATCCTAAAGTGTGAAGAGGTTAATTCATTGTGGTTTTGATTTGCATTTTCCTAAAAATTAATGATTTTGAGTATCATTTTTCAAGGGTACACAGATAGGAGATTCAATCTCTCTATGGTTGTTTTAGCTGAAGAACCAAAGCTTTTATTAATTATGTCTTTCTCTGTGTGTGATTTTATAGCTTACACCTAAGGTAATTTGACCATCCATATAATGTAGAGCTTTTAAAAGTTTCAAACAACTTCTTAAATAAAATTTGTGTTTTATGTTTTAAAAGCATTACTCTTTCCATAGTTTATATTGGGGAAGGTATGGCAAAGGTGCCTGGAGATAAGGCAGAGTTTCATGTTTATATAGTGTGTGTGCTTATTTTTTAAATGAAGGTAGTTACTTGGCCTCTCTTGTTTCAGTTTCCTTGTCTCTTAAGTGAAAATGACAGTGTCCCCCCATTGGAGTATAAAATATAATACAATTGCATGGAATTGCACATAGTTAGTATTCAGTAAACTTTAGTTGTGATGATGTTGTTCGTGATAATGATAATGATTAATTGACCCTTGAAGATCAAGTTCAGACTTTACTTATTTTTGTTGTTGGGTCAAACACAGTAAGTGCAATATCCTCAGCTCACAAACTTAGATTTTAATTAAGTTTTATTTTTTCTTAATATATGAATTTTATCATAGAACGCATAGGTAAGATTTTGATATACTATTATACAATAAAATATTAACTGCTGCCTTCTTTGCCCTACTACTTTTATTGATTTTTCAGTTTATGGGAAAAACTGATGGAGATTATTATACTCTGGACGACATGTTTGTCTCCAAAGCAGCTGAGAGACAACATCTTGGCGAAGAGGAAGAGAACCAGAGGAAAAGAGCTATTGCTGAGCATCAGAGTCTTGCTGCACAAATGGAAAAATGTCTTTATTGTTTTGACAGCTCTCAATTTCCTAAGCACCTTATTGTTGCAATAGGCATTAAGGTAAGAAATATGACATTTATTGATCTAATGAGAAGATTTTATAGTATATGTAGATTTGCCTCTTTCTTCATATATCTCTAAGATTCCTAAAGAATGTCTTTGTTTTTTCTGTGTTTCAATATTTTTTCCATCCACGATTCCTCCATAGAAAGTATAAATATTAAAATGACATGAAGCTCACATCTTGAGTGATTCTATTTTATTGAGAGGAGCTACTGGGAAGTGATTAAACTGCAGACTTTGGAATCACATTTCTTGACCTCAGATTCTGCCTCTATCATTTATCAGCCTTCTGACATTGTACCAGGTGATTCTTAGCATTAAAGTCACCTCAGAGGGGTTCAATCTGAAGTAGCTTCACTTTCTTTTTATACTTTCTCATAAAACTTGTTTCTTCATAGAATAATAGCTCACAATTTGAAGATTTTTTACTACATTTTTTAACTTGGTTATTAGACCTCCACTCTAGTCATCAAACTTCATGAACAGATGTAGCTTTTCCTCGCCATCATATATCAGTCATCTGGTTCTGTTCCTTGTACATAATAGGGCTTTATTTCAATTAACATTTATTCTTACATTAGGTAAATATTTTTTGTATCTGTAATATGCCAAAATCTAATTACTTATGAGAAAAGTGGAGAATCAGGTATACTTTTGAAGATTATGTTATAGTCCTAATTTAAGAGACAGTTAATTTTTATAGAGCAGATATAGTAAGGAAATGGGATAAAATGATGGGGGAGTATATAATTTTTTAAAAAGTAGACTTCTGAGGTATTTTAGTAAGTTGTATAAGATGAGAAAGAGCAAGAGATATGAAGTTACGAAGGAATATGTTTCAGGAAGGGGCATCAGTGAGTGAAAAGTCATGAGGAAATGAGTTTGGCATTCGTAGAACAGAAAGAAGCCTGGAGTGAAGTAAGAAAAAGTGATAGTTTAAGAAGCTGAAAGAATGAATGCTAATTTCAGGAACTGGTAGTTTGGGGAATAGACACAAACATTTATTTATTTGTTTATATACTCTTGTCTATGTATGTGGGCGTGAACCCCACCCGCAGTCTTTAATATTTTTAGATCATTAGGATAGTCAGTTTGGGTTTTAATTTCTTTTATGTAGTAAATATTTATTCCCCTTTAGTGTCATTTATACTTTTAAAAATATAGCAATAATTAAACATTAAGTAACATTTAATATGTTTCTATAATGCCTTAGAAGTTTGGGGATTATTTTACATGACTTCATTTTCTCTAGTATACTGAAAATAGTCTGTCCAGGGAGACAGGTATTATGAGTGTAAACCAGTTGAAAGCCTCCTGTTTTATATATTGTATCTTTGTCTCTTTTGTATTGCTATAAGAGAATTCCTGGGGCTGGAATAAAGGAAAGAGGTTTATTTATCTCACAGTTCTGGAAGCAAGTGGTAGAGTTTGGATCTGGAACATCCCTCAAAGGCTCATGTATTGAAGGGTCCTCAGGGCAGCAACGTTAAGAGGTAGAGCTTTTGGGAAGTGACTGGATTCTGAAGATTTTGATTTTTTAATTGACTAATCCATTGATGGGTTCATAGCTGATGGTATTATTGGAAGGTTGTGGAAACCTTAGAAGGGGGCTCAGTTGGGGAAAGTTGATCACTGGTTAAATCTTGTCCCTGGTTCCTCACCCCCACCTACCCTTCTCTCTGCTTCCTTTTCTGGCAGCTTTTCTCTGTCATGCCCTTTCACCACGACATTTACCTCACCTTAGGCCCAAAGCAGTGAGCTGGTTGATCATGGACTGAAATCTCTGAAACTGTGCCCCCAAATAAATATTTCCTCCTTGAAGTTGTTTTTATAAGTTATTTTGTCACTGTAATAAAAAAACTGACTGCGACATGAGGGAAGTTTAAGATCATGGTGTCAGCACTTATTTGGCTTCTGTTGATAGCTTTATGTTGCTCCGCTCTTGTTGGAAAAGTGTAAAGAGAGCCTGGAGGGTAGAAGAGATCACTTGGCAAGAGAATGATAAGCCAAATTCACTTTATAACATCATAATTTCGTGGGAACTTTATAAGGGTGGAGACCCCATGACTCAATCATCTCTTAAAATTTTTCTTATTCTGTATTAGGACAGAGTGGGCTACCTCAGTAGCTTCTGAGGCTAATACATTCCTGTCACAACAATTACTTTAGTAAAGCTGGTTTCTTTATCTACTGACACATCATATAAAGCTAGTGACTGAGTTTGCACCCTGTTTACCTCCTAAGCATCCTAACATCTCTCAACACATTATATTTCAACCTGAGTTTCTGTGGGGACTTCCCATATCCAAACCATCACAGGCTGTGTTTAAGGAAGGCATTTGTTATTTCACTGCCCAGTGGAAATGGTCAACCAGTAGATAGATGTTTCTGTTTCTTCAATTCTTTCTACTATACCATCTCATGCATCCCCTTTCCCTTTCTTCTCAGTTTTCTTCTTTTACTAAGAGATAATCCATATTTTCCAAAATACTTCTCTGCTTTCAGTTTACTAAGAGTTGGCCAATTTGTTTGTTTGTTTTTCTTTCAGGCTTGGCTTTTCATTCTGAAGTCTTTGAAATTATTTGAATCTCTTCTTTCTCCACCTGTGCTTTATTCTGCTATTTTTTCCCTAAAAACTATAATCTACCTTCAGTGTTACATCTATGAATATTTCAATATAGAAATGTTTTAAATATTGATTACAAAGAATTTCATCAATTTCCTACAGTATCTGACTGCCTGTCTCACCCATTTTAACTATAGATCATTTTCTTCACCTGGACAAACCAGAGGTCTTTCTCTTTAGTAAGTCACATATGATTGTGAGTTTCCCTTAGTAAGTCACATATGATTGTGAGTTTTTAAGGAATTACTTGGAGCCTAAGGTGAAATAGCAAACAGTATTTCAGAGCAATTCAATAGTTTTCACTGAGCTTGAATTTGTAATATTTAAAGTAATAAATCCAAATATGTTAATGAGATTATATTAGTATTACTTAGAATCAGACAGTTAATAACTTTCTGATCATCCCTATCCTTTTATTTTTAATAAAAGTTTTTTGTTTTCCTTTTTGTCTTAACACTGTCCTTTATATTTTAAAATGTATATTATTTATTAGAACAGTTTTATATTTACAAAAAAATTGAGAAGTTTGTGTATATAGTTTCATATACCCCATGGCTGGTTTCCTCTATTTTTAACATTTTATACTAGTACAATACATTTTTAATAGTCAATTAATAATTACTTATATTGTTACTGAATATTTTTTTTCACATTTCTACCTTATATCCTCTTTCTCTTCCATGATCCACCCTAGGTTTTATGTTACATTTAGGAGTCGTGTCTCCTTAGGCTTCTCTTGGCATGGACAGTTCCCTAGACTATCTTGTTTTTGATAACCTTGATAGTTTTGAGGAGTACTGCTTAGGCATTCTTTCCTCTATTGGAATTTGTCTAATTAGACTGGGATTTTACTATTTGAAAGGAATTCCACAAAGCTAAAATGCCTTTCTTATATCAGTGGTACATGCTGTCACATGACATGTCACTGTTGGCATCAACATTGATCACCTTGTCGAGTTAGTGGTTTTCATGTTTCTATATCTGTTGCCCCATATCCCTCCCATCCATATATACCCCTTGAAAGGAAGTCAGCCCACACAGCCCACACTCAAGCAGTAGTGATATGTCCTCTTTCTACACTAATTAACTTGGAATTTTTCTGCACAGTAGTTTTATCTCCTTTTTCCTCATTTATTATGTATTAACTCATTTATACTTATTTAATGTTTTTTCTTGTAGTCTAATACTGCTTTATTTTATTGTTCAACATGGCTGTTGAGAATTCTTTTAGTATTCCTTTGACATACTCCCATCGATGGGGTTTTTTGTTTTTTAAAAAATCTCTTCTTACTTTTTGGCACTATAAAGTGCTTCAGGTTCATCTTGCATTTCTCCTGGCTGAGTCCTAGAGTTGGCCACTTCTTCAGTGAGTCCATATTCCTTGTATTGGAGAATGGATCAAGATCAGTACACTTAGGTGTGCTCATTGCTACTGGCATGGTGTTCTTTTAGTCCCTCTGGGAGGAGGAGTAAAAAGATACATATGTGTATAAGCTACTAGATACATTTATCTATTACTGTTGCTCTTTGTAACCATCTGTATGTATATCAAGCTAAACATGAATTCATATTGATATCTTCAACTCTTAATCCATTACCACAGGAATTATTCTAGTTTCCTCTCTATGCTGATCTGTAAATTCTCACCCCAACAGTGAATATCCAGCTACCCATCATCCATTTACTTAATCATTCCATTCCAGTTCAATTCTATCAGAATTGCTAAGTTGTACTCCTGTGGGAAGCAACTTTTTATACTAGAGTGCAGTGGTTGTATCTAATTATATCCAAAAGGCCTTTAGTCTGCAGACTCCACTTATTTCTAGATTGACTTAGGTCCACACCTTTTGCTTTGTATTCTTTTCTTTGAGGTTATTTTGCATCTTATAAAGCAATTAGATTCTCTTGTTATAGCCTACATTCCTTACTGGAATTACTTAAATTTTCTTTTTAATCTCATATATGACGATTCATTCTTTGTGCTTTAAAATTCAATGGGTTTTAACAAATACATAATGTCACATATCCATTAATATAAAAATGATATTTTTACTGACCTGAAAATTACTGGTGCTGCACTTGTTCAGACATCCCTGTTTCCCCCTGAACTCTTGACATCTACTAATCTTTTTGATGTCTCTACTGCCCTTTTTAAAATGCCATATGATTTAAATCATAATTGATGTAGTCTTTTCAGACTGATTTATTTCACTTTATAATATGCATTTAAGGTGCTATCACATATTTTCATGGCTAGATAGGTATTTCTTTTTATTGCTGAACAGTTCTCCATTCTGTGGTGTACTAGTATGTTATTTCACCTATAGCATCCTATTTGCTTCCGATTTTTGGCAATTATGCATAGAGTTGTTACTAACATTTGCATATAGGTTTTTATATATACAGAAGTCTTCAAATCAATTGGGTAAATATTAGCTGGATTTTATGAAGCTTTCTTAAGCTTTGTAAGAAACTATATTCCAAAGTGTCTACCAATTTTGCATTCCAAATAGCAGTGAACAAGAGTTTCTATTATGCCACATATTTGCCAGCATATGGTATTGTCAGTTTTCTTGGATTTTAGTAATTCTTTTTTCTATTTTTTTCCACCTTTATTGAGTTATAATTGATGTAAGTAAACCACACATATTGACAGTGTACAGTTTTTTGATGTGTATATGTACCTTTGAAACCACCACCACAATTAAAATAATGAATATATCCACCATCCACCAAAGTTTCACCAATTTTATAGTAATATTTCATTGTTTTTGTTTTGTTTTTGTGGTACTGAGGATTGAACCCAGGGCCTCATGCATGGTAGGCAAATGCTCTACCGCTGAACTACATCCCTAGCACTTTTTTAATTTTTATTTTTAGACAGGATCTTACTAATTTGCCCAGGCTGGCTTTGAATGTGTAATCCTCTGCCTGAGACTCCCGGTAGTTGGGATTATATGTGTGTGCCACTGCTCAGCTTTTCTGTTGTTTTATTTGCAGTTTTCTGATAGCAAGAATGTTGACCATCTTTTCATATGCTTATTTGCCATCTCTTTATCTTCTTTGGGCAGGTGACTGTTAAAAGTTTTGCCTTTTTTTTTTTTTTTCTCCCTTTGAGATGGAGTCTCACTAAGTTGCGGAGGCTGACTTTGATCTCCTGGGTTCAAGTTGTGTTTCTGCCTCAGCCTCTTCAGTAACTGGGACTATAGGCATGTGTCACTGTGCCTGGCAGCTTTGCCCATTTTAAATTGTTTTCTTGTTGAACTTTAAAGAGACCTTTTTGTTGGTGGTGGTAGTGGTGGCTGTTTTGTGTGTTTTTGTTTCACATATTTTGGACCCAAGTCATTTATAAGATATCTGTTTTGCAAGTATTTTCTCTCACTCAGTGACTTGTGTTTTCATTGTTTTAAACATTGTTTTGCAGAGCAGAAGTATTTAATAGAGTTCAAGTTACCAGTTTTTTCTTTAATGGATTGTGCTTTTGGTATTATATCTACAAACTGATCAAACTCAAGGCTACCTAGTTTCTCCTCTAATTCTAGAAGTTTTGTGGTTTTTGCATTTTGTGGAAGGTATAAGATCTGGCTGGAGGTTCATTTTTTCTTTTCATATGCCTATCCATTTATTCTAGTACCAATTGTTGAAAAAGAGTTCTTTTTGCATTGACTGTTCTGTGCTTCTTTGCTAAAGGTCAGTGCTCTATTTGTTTGGGTCTATTTTGGTGTTTTTTTTTTTTTTTTTCATTGATCTGTTTACCCATTCTTACACCAATACCACATTGTTATATATCATTACTGTAGCTTTATATTAAGTCTTGGAATTAGGTAGTGGGAGTTCCCCAACTTTGTTCTTTAATATTGCTTTAACTTGTCTGGGCCTTTTGCATTTCCATATGAAAATTTAGAACTATTTTTTTAATATCTGCAAAAAACTTTTTGGGATTTTGATTGAAATTACATTGAATCTATAGATCAATTGGGGAAGAATTGATAATAATATTGCATCTTCTAATCCATGAACATAATGTTGTTGCATTTATTTAGATCTTTTGTTCTTTCTTTTGTCAGAATTTCAGTTTTCTCCCCTAGGTCTTATACATATTTTGTTAGATTTATACCTAAGTATTACATTTTGGGGATGCTATTATAAATGTTATTGTATTTTCAGTTTCAAATTTCCTATGTGTGTTACATCGGAAAGCAATTGACTTTAGCATATTAATCTCATACCCTGTGATTTTACTATTATCACTCAGTAGTTCTAGAAATTCCTTTGATTTTTTATGATTTCCTACATAGACTATCATGTCATATGTGAATTTTGTACTTTTTGTGATATGGTTTTTAGTATTTTCAACAAACTACGGGATTTCTTTTTCCTGTAAAGAGTCAAATAAATATTATATTACTAAGTAATATTTGTGCTCATTTTTTAATACTCTTCTATGATCCCACTCACCTACTTTTATTTTGATTTAGAAAAAGAAACAAAACTTTAATAATTCATTTAACCATCAAACATGTTTATTGAGCATGTATTGTATGTTAGGCCCTTGGCTAGGTCCTAGATATGTAAAGATGACTAAATTCCCTCTAGTCGCT